TGTTAAGTGGAAAAAGCTACCTCTTGAGTCTTGCTAAAAGCATTCTAAGAGGTATGTGAACAGTTGGCATCCAACAGCTGTACCTGGGAACCCATAGGCACAGTTGGCCTATTTAGAGGAAGTCCTGTCTGAACAAATCCCATCAAGCCCTGAACATTAAGGGAAAAAACCTAGTGCAGTGCTGCAGCTAGTGGGTGGAGCTGTGAACACTAACCCACACTCTACCCTGCAGTATTTCTGCTAAGAACTTGAAAAGGAGTACTCCATGCCTATGTGGACATCACATCTCTGAAACAGGACTTGATATTTCACAGGAGAGTAAAGAGACTAGAGTCCAAGCAAGGGAACGTACTGAAAGCTCACTACAACAAACATTCAACAGCCAGACAACAGCTTTGTTGGTTCTGTCTCTACATGGGCTTACTACCACCTCAATGTGAGCCCCCTTTTTTTAAACAGGGTTCTATGAAGCCCTGGCTATCCTAGAACTTTCTATGTAGACACAATTGGCCTCAAACAGATATCCTCTGCACCTACCTCTTGAGTGCTGGGATTAAAGGCATGTACCAATTTATTTGTCTCCCATTTCATCTTGATAACACCCACCAAGGCCACAGACCTAAGTCTGTCCTCTGATCTATTTATCTTTCAAAGTCTTGTGGACAATATATGTTAATGCTGGAGTTTTCAATACTATACAACTGAATGGCCTGGAAAGATTTTACATCTATGCATATGCAGAGGGGTCTCAGCCCTGTCTCTAAGTCATGCTGTCAAATACCTAGTTTTCTATGTCCTGCTACAGGATAAGGCAGAACCTCATTTCCACGTAGGCTCTTTACTTGGTCTGTCCTATACTTAGAAACCCTGTTTCACCAGGCATGTTGGTACATATATGTAACCCCAGAACTCAAGAGAGTGAGCCAGGTATTTAATGACAGCCTACTCTATAGGGTGAGACCCTATCTCAAATAAAAGTAACAAAAACCAATTCATGTATTTTCTTTTTAAAGAATTATTTATTTTATGTACATTGGTGTTTTGCCTGCATGTATGTCAGTATGAAGGTGTCAGATACTCTGGAACTGGAGCTCAGACAGCTGTTAGCTGCCATGTGGATACTAGGAATTGAACTGGGGTCCTCTGGAAAAGCAGCCACTGTGCTCTTAACTGCTGAGTCATCATATCTCTTTTTAACATGAGAAACAAACCAAAAGCAGCCAGGCATTCATTTCTTTAATCTCAGCACTTGGAAGGGATAGCCAGAGGCACAGATCTCTGAATTTGAGACCAGCCTGATCTACAGAGCAAGTTCCAGGACAGCCCAGTCCTGTCTCAGACAACAAAATAATAACAATGATAAATAAACAAAAAGTAAAAGATGCTGGGCGAGGCAGGGTGATCTCTGTGAGTTCGAGACCAACCTGGTCTACAGAACAAGTGTCAGGACAGGCTCCAAAGTTACACAGAAACCCTGTCTTCAAAAACAAAAACAAAAAACCAAAAAAGCAAAATATAAAAATAATAAATAATAATAATAACAAAATATGTCAGGCTTCAAGGGAGAAGACTACACTGCTGTGTACATGGCTGAAAAGCAGTACTATCTGGACCAATGTCATAGGCCAGTTATTTCTCTAAAATAACTAGGATACCACAGAAACAGGAGGTAATAATTGTTTATAAAAGTCACCAAGTGTAAACCCACACAGACTGCTAAAGGAACCTCTTGAAATGAAGGCCTTGCTAATATCACCACCACAGATAAATGAGAAAGTAAAACTTGTTTTCTATACATCCAATATGGCACAGTGCTTTAGAAGCTGTGACACAGGATCTGGTCAGGCAGCAACCCCCTGCTGCAACTCACTCACCAATGACCAATAGCACAAGGATGATGATGAGAACCACAAAGAAGGTGTTGCCATAGATCAGTACCAACTCAACCAGGCGGGATTTGAAAATCTTCTGCCATCTGTGAAAGAGATAAAGACAGACACTAAAGATGATGCACTTTTACAAACCAAACCCTAAAAAAAATGGAAAATGAGCTTGGTGTTCTTTCCCCATGCCCAAGGGACCTCTACAAAATCATTCTCAGCTGCTTATGTATTCCTCCTATTTATTAAATTCAACAGTACTTAGTAAAAAGATGTTTGTCAGGGCTGGAGAGATGGTTTAGCACTAAAGAGTACTGGCTGCTCTTCAGAGGACCCAGGGTCAATTCCCAGCACCCATGTGGTAGATCACAACTATCTAAAACTCTATTCTAGGGGTCTGACCTGCTCACACATACATGCATGCAGGCTAAACACTAATGCACATGAAATATAATTAAAGGGTATTTGTCCACCTGCAGAAACACCTGGAGAAAAATCAAGTCTTACAACATTGGCAGTCTCTAATAAGGGAGATTTACTTTTCACTGCACTTCCCCCTGTAGTAGCTGAAGAATCTGCCACAAATATAGTTATTCCTTTTGTCTTTCTTTTTATCTTTTTTTTCCAGGTATGGTTTCACTACGCAGTCCTCGCAGTCCTAGCCGTCCTGGAACTTATTACATAGACCAAACTGGCCTTGAACTCACATAAGTCTACCTGCCTCTGTCTCCCTGTGCTGGAATTAAAAGAACTATGCTACTATGCCTAACTTCCTTTTGTATAATATGTGACAATCTTTTTTGTTTGTCTAGAACCCTATTATCCTAGGTTACAAAAAGGAACCCATGATACAGCTGTAAAAAGCCTTCAGAAGGAGTTACGTACTGTTGAAAATCAGCAAGCCAGGCTGATCATGGTGGTGTATGCCCTTTAATCATAGCACTTGGGAGGCAGAAGCAGGTGGATCTCTGTGAATTCAAGGCCAGACTGGTCTACATTGCAAGTCCCAAGCCTATGTAACAAGACCCTGTCAACACGCCACCTTTGTCATCAGATGCAGAATTAAAAATCAATAGTTGGTTTGCTAGACACATGGCATGGTTCTGAATTACCATTTAGTGTTTTAAATTGGTCTTAATCAGTCCCTCTTTCTCCTTTTTTTTTTTTTTACTTTTTTTCTATGTGTGTTCTGGTGCATGTGCATGTGGGAGTAGGCTTTAGGTGAGTATATTCTCTAACCATTCTCTCCTCTCTCTCAAAGGTCTTAATGAACCCAGAGCTTATGATTCAACTAGACTGACTAGGATCCTCCTGGTCTTCACCTGGGTCACCAAGTCCAGCTTTCACATTGGGTGATGGGGATCAAACTCAGATCCTAATATTTATACAATAAGCACTTTACTGACAAGCCATTTCTCTAGTCCTTATCAATTTCAGACAGCGTCTCATGGTTAGCTTCAAATTTGCTATGTAGCCAAAACAGGCCTTGAACTCCTAATCCTGCCTTCATCTCCTAAGTGGTGGAACAAAGTTAGTTGTCCTTGAATGCATCCAAGACAACAGTCCCACCAGTGTTTTGGTCTCTGTATTTCCTGTAAATGGGATGCCAATGTGGGTTGTGGCAAGAATATTCCTTAGATATTATTAACTGTGTTGATTTTATAACATTTTAATATAAATAAGGATAGTGTGCTGATATACTATGTATAATTTAAAAATTAGCACCTAATTAACTTTTAACAGATCCTGTTTGTTAAAAGGGAATATGGCTTCATCCTTCATAGGCTGAATAATGCTCATGAGCCTACTAGGCAATGCCAGTAAGAGCTAGTTAGGAGGGCAAAAGTCAGCAAATCAACAATGTAAGCCAGTGGTGCAAGAAGTATTCTGATTTCCACACAACCATCCCCCACAGCCCTAAGGCCTAAGGGGTAGGCAAAATAATATTATTCACAAAACTGAAGCTAGATCTTCCTGTGCAAAGACCAGAAAGACAGAACAAAGCAAAACAGTGTGCAAGATTAGTAATTAAAAAGAGAGAGAAAAAAAAAAACCTCTTGGCACCCTCATCCTCATCTAAGACAGGTTTTACTTGTTTCCATTAGTCCCAATTTCAGGGTCCACCAACTCTGCACACAGAAATGATAAGGTTCGTTCGGGGTTAGATAGGCACCCTCCCCATATGTGTGTGTGTGTTGTTGTTCTACTAGCCATACCTTTTGGGGGAAATGAAAGGAATGCAGAGAAGCAACACAGCAAAGACCTCTGCGTAGAGGAAGGTGGCAACAGCAGTCCACTGCAGACTCATCCTGTCACTTAAAGGTTTCCAATAAAGAGATGGGAGCTTGTTTCCTGGTAGGGCAGAGGAAACAGAAGGAACCATGTGAGCCGGGCAACCACTGACATCTAGTTCAAGGACCCTGGAGAGGCTTGGGCTGCTACTCTCCACAATAGACTCCAGTACTCTGCTTCAGAGCTTTTGAAGCCTGGATGAAACAGGTCTTAAGCCAATGGGGATAGTTGGCCAACACTTGAAACAGACCTCAAAGTCAGCCCAAGACACCCCAAGACCAAGTTCTCAGCACAAAGGAGACCTATTTACCCCTGATGGACAAAGGACAAGGAATACGAGACAAAGACTGGAGATAGAGGATGAGGGAGAAGGGAAAAAAACAAGGGAGAAGGAACCAGATTATTTGTCCCTCTAGGACAAAAGACTGTCTCTGGATAGAGGAGACAGACATGGATGGCCCATAGGCAAATGATAGTTTATAAAAGGAAAAAGAGAAACCCTGTGTTAGGATGAGTTGGCTAATTTTGAATGGACAAAAGGGGGCTTTTGATTGCTGGACTTCAATACTTTAATTGCTGGACCTTGGTAGTTAGCCTCAAGAAGAGGTAATGGCCAAGTAAGGGACTGGACCTTGGTGGCTAGCTTTAGAACATAATCTAACAGTTTTTAGCAACAATGAGGGAATGGAGGAAAGGCGGGGCCTGCCAGAGCCATGTTTGCCATGCTTGTTCTTGCTAGAGCCCCTACAGTGCTAACCAGCCAATCAACTTCCCTGACTGGCATAGTGACTTATGCTTCTCCAGCATGTGTGTTACCATGACAAGGTACCTTTGTTGAGGATTCCTTTCCCTGTGGGAGTCCCAGGAACTCCTTAGACCTGTTTAACTAAGAATATGTTTCTCATAAGAACAGTACATGAACAGGAGCATTCATGAGGTTCCCTTCCCAGACCATAAGCCTCTGATGCAGGAGCTGGTACAGTGGGCCTGAGACTGCAATGTTCCTATGTGCATCTTCTGCCAATGCCACTGCCTGGGCCCCAGCACAAGCAAGGAGACACATTCCTCCTCCAATACCTGGGATAACCCAGCAGTCGCCCCCCCATCTCCCTCCCTCTCTGTCTGTCTGTCTTTCTCTCTCTCTCTGTTTGTGAGACTGCTTTTCGGAAACCGAAGAGGCCTTCAGACTGCTCCAGCGGATGCACGAAGTGTGTGAGGCGTTAACCTACCCGCAAAAGGCCCACAAGAGCGACTCCTAGAGGACAAGAATCCAGGCCAAAAGCAAAAATGCAGGTCTCCACAGAACACCTCAAAGCCTTATCTGGAGAACGTTCCAGAACCAATAAGTCGTTGAAGCCAAAGAGGGACTAATCTTCGAACAGACTTAATACGCCACAACGCCACCCAAATTCATCTTGCCAGGTCGTCTTCGAGGAGCTGGGCCTACGCGGTTAGCTCTCGAGTGGGACTTCTTCACTGGCTCCCGCCCTCGCGCCCCCTGGAGCCCCGCTCCACCTGCCACCCCACCATGCCTGCACTAGAGCCTGTCCCGACATTTCCCAGAATCCACAGTCCTTCTGGGACTCTCACTTTCCGCTCTCATAAAGGTGCTTGGGGAACCTCAGTGGTCTGGGAGCCAGCCATACCCGCGGACCCAGCTTACCGAGTTTCAGGCAACTCACAGGAACAACCGCAACTAATAAACTCTCACCGCCACTCCGACCCGCCCCTTAGTCCGCAACCGGAAACCGGAAACGCATCTAGGGCCCCGCCTACAAGCCTTCCTGAGGTCCTCCAACCGCTTCGCTCACAGCCATTTCCCGCCCCGCCCCCAGGCCGCGGGCCCTTCCCCAGGTCTTTAGAGGAAGTGGTGGCAGGAGGTCGAAAGCCGACTGCTGCGTCTCCGACACTTCAGACACGCAAGGGTGGAGCTCAGAAGAGCCTTGGCGGGATGGCTAGGGCCTCTCCTCTAGCCTGCGCGGTCATCCCTAGTCTCTGTGGTCAGAGAGGGGGTGGGGCCCAACCGTAGGGCAAGAACGCGGCGGGGCGCCCCTGCTCCGAACTCCGCCTCCTGCCCCAACTCCACCCCCCATTCTCCCGGGGGGAGGGGTGGGTGGGTAGAGATTCTGGGCAGTGGCTAAGTCACAGAAGCTTCTGAAGCCCGGCTGCCGAGCAGACGAACACGCTTGGTGCCCCGGGGAGGGGCGTCACAAGGGGGAGGAGGAGCAGTAAGAGGAGGTGGAAAGGAAGAGACGGCCTCTTTGCTTAAGACCTCTCGAGGCTCTGACCTCAGGGGCTAAGGGACTATCTGGAGAGGGAAGCCAGTTTCCTCCACCTGGGCTTGCCTGAAGCAGGCCACGACCCTGGAGGATCATAAGCCAACCGCTTCTGGGGCCCCAGCACCACCCCAGGGGCCACAGGCTCAGGGACCACTTCAAGGTTTCCAGTTGTCTACACAACAAACCCTGCAACTGCAGCCTCGGGCAGTAGTCCCAGCCCCTCAACCTACCCACCATTCCGGGTGACATGCCGGTGCTCTCTACTCCACGGTCCTCGAGGGTGACCACACTGAAGCGTACAGCTGTGGTCTTGGCTCTCACAGCCTATGGAGTCCACAAAATCTACCCTCTAGTACGGCAGTGCCTGACTCCTGCCAGAGGCCCTCAGGTGCCAGCTGGGGAACCCACGCAAGAGGCCTCTGGAGCTACAGCAGCCAAGGCTGGCATGAACCGGGTATTCCTGCAGCGGCTCCTGGTGCTCCTGAGGCTGCTGTTCCCCCGAATCTTGTGCCGGGAAACAGGGCTACTGGCCCTACATTCTGCTGCCCTGGTAAGCCGAACTTTCCTGTCTGTGTATGTGGCCCGCCTGGATGGCAGACTGGCCCGCTGCATTGTACGTAAAGACCCACGAGCCTTTAGCTGGCAACTGCTTCAGTGGCTCCTCATCGCCCTTCCTGCCACTTTCATTAACAGTGCCATCCGCTACCTAGAGGGCCAGCTGGCTCTGTCTTTCCGAAGCCGTCTAGTTGCTCATGCCTACAGCCTCTACTTTTCCCAGCAGACTTACTACCGAGTAAGCAACATGGATGGCCGGCTTCGAAACCCTGACCAGTCTCTGACGGAGGATGTGGTAGCCTTTGCTGCCTCTGTAGCCCACCTCTATTCCAACCTGACCAAGCCACTCCTGGACGTGGCGGTGACCTCCTATACTCTCCTTCGAGCAGCCCGCTCCAGAGGAGCTGGCACAGCCTGGCCCTCAGCCATCGCTGGCCTGGTGGTGTTCCTAACAGCCAACGTGCTACGAGCCTTCTCTCCCAAGTTTGGGGAACTGGTGGCAGAGGAGGCCCGGCGGAAGGGCGAACTGCGCTACATGCACTCTCGAGTGGTGGCCAACTCAGAGGAAATTGCCTTCTACGGGGGCCATGAGGTGGGGCAGGTTGAAATGCTGCTTATATAGGAGAGGAGGTGGCTGGGAGACCCATGGCAGCCAGCTATAAGGAATAGGGAAAGCCTAAAGCCTAACCAGGCTGATGTTAAAGTTGTCAATAGGCACTGGAACAAGCTCGGGGGTAGGCCTTGGATGGCTATAATCTAAAGGTGCAGAAATGGAGAAATGACACCACTGGGTGGGAACTTCCCGGTGCTGGCTGCCTACAACCTCCAGGCCACTTCTGCCTCCTTCCTTGGTGAAATTAATTGTCTTGGACTTGGAGCTTTGGATTCTAGTGGTTTGTGATGCTACTGGTTGAGTTCACTCCAATCTTTCAGCCAACCATTCCTGCAGCCAACTGGGGGGAATTAGACTCCTACCATCTGGAGCAGGTATGGTAGGACACAGCCTGCCACCTGACCTCTCACATCTCTGGGCCCTTTGAAGGCTGGCGTCCAGCAGAGTTGGCTGGCCGGGCTGTCCTATATTATAGGCATGACTCAGCCCAAGCATAGGTTAACAAGCAAAACTCAGCACAGCAGCTGCAGTGGTGTTGGTGCTCAGGGTCAAGGCTGTCAGAGCCCCAGGCATGCCTGGCTAGTGACTGACAGGCTTGACAAGCAACCTGCGTAGCTGCCTCCCTCCCTCCCAGGGATAGGGATATGGGATGTGTGCCCCAGCCTCTGCCATGGTGTACAGCCTGACAAGCTCCCCCCACCCCACCTCCATTGTAACCACCCTTCTGTTCAGATCCCTCAATGAGGTGGGCTAGGGTCAGGAGAGCCCTCAGATGCTGGAAAAGGTTACTTCAGGCCACTGCAAGCTTTATTCCCTCCCCTTCCTTATCCCTGTGGTTGCAGCTGCTTCAGTCCTTATTCTGACAACTAATTTCACTTCCCCACTGCTTGGGGTGGGGGAGGGATGCAAAAGGATGATTTTTTAAAGACGGTCTCTGTGTGTCTCCTGGGCCAGGTAGCCACTAACCCCAGGACCGTGTCTCATTGGCTGCATGCATATCATATAGAGAATCAGGCTTTTCCTTAACTTTCAGAAAGGATTTGTCTCTACATTTTTACAAAGAAAGGTATTTCTGGTCCTGGTCAGGTTTCAGATAAGGAGAAAAAGTGCCTCACCCTCACTATAACCCCTCTCCCACTCTTCTGAATATCATGCTGCAGGGCCTTGGCAAGCAGCCGGGGCCTTGGGTGAGGCACTTGGCACAATATCCATAGCTACACCATCAGCCTTAGCTGGCACTGCTACCACCTCAAGGCATGAACCTAGATTACCAGGGTACTCCAAGGTGGTTCACTCACTTCAGGAATAAGAGATTGGGTTTGAGGAAAGTTGGGTTATATGAGCAGACTTAGGCAGAGGGTACAAACGAAAGAGCGTGGTATTTAGAAAGACTTCCTCTGGGATAGTTTAAGGAAATAGCACATTCAACAATAGAGTTCACTTCCTGGGACCCAGAGACCTTTTGTACACCCTTCGTCTGCTTATCTAAGCTGTATGAAGTGATGGGTCACTATGGATAGGTTAACTGTCCTTTTATAGACACATGTCCCACTCTAGTTCCACTGACAGATATACTGTGAACATGAGCCTACATTCAAGTCAACAATTTATGACAGAAGGGAACTAACTGGCTGGCTGGCTAGCAGGCAGGCAAACAGCACAGTATTATTGCTAGAATTTCAGACAGTGCATATGCATGTGTACACACAAGTATACAACTTCCTGCTTGAAATAACAAAGTAAGTCTTTTTGTTGTTGATTTTTGGTTTTTTCTTTGGTTGTTTTGTTTTGTTGTTTGTTTTTGGTTTTTCGAGACAGGGTTTCTCTGTGTAGCTTTGGAGCCTGTCCTGGAACTCGCTCTGTAGACCAGGCTGGCCTCAAACTCATAGAGATCCCCCTGCCTCTGCCTCCCGAGTGCTGGGACTAAAGGCCTGTGACACCAATGCCCAGCTCAAAGTAAGTCTTAAATCAGCTTCATTTGTAATAATCTTGTTATCAGGCTGACCAGGAGGATGACTGTGAGTTCATGGGCTATATCATGAAATCTCAAAAGTAACAACAACTACAACAAAAAGCCAGGCATGCTAGTGCACACCTATAATGCCAGCACTTGGGAAGCATACATAGGAAAATTGCCACAAATTTGAGGTTGACCCTAGTATACATTAAGCAATTCCAGACCAGCCAGGCCTATATATAATGAGACCCTGTCACAAAAAAAAAAAAAAAAAAAAAAAAAAAACAGAAGTCTGGTTCTCTATGATTAGAGTGCTTATCTACCATGCTCAAGGTCTAGAATGCCCAAGAACCTAAATTCTACCCACCATACCTCAAAACAAAGTAAAAATCTGGTTCTCTTAACAGCCCAGCCCATTCAGCCCATATTCCTGCACTGCTTGCTACCTCCAGGCAATATGAGTTTGGGCAGGTCACTTTGTCTGTTTCTGTGTCCTACAATAGACGTGAGACTATACACAATGAACTACGTGGCAGTAAAATGAAGAAAGAAATGAAACCACTGGACAATCAGTGCCATACTGGGCATGGGGGTGGGAGGCAGAGCAATCCAAAACACCACAGTCACCTTGCCATGAATACTTCTTCCCAATATTTCTAGACTCCTCCATGAGGCTTGCCTGACTGCAGCTGCCACCCCACTTGAGGGTGGCACCCATGTTTTGGTGGGAAAATTCAGTGTACTTTTCTCACACCAAAGAGTCCTGGGAAAGTAGCAGGAAATGGAGCCTAAGTAAAGTGAGTCTGTTTACTGAGTTTTACAAAACCAAGAACTTTATTACCCAGTGGTGGTGCTTGCCTTTATTCCCAGCACTAGGGAGGCAGAGGCAGGCAGATCTCTGAGTTTGTGGCCAGGCTGGTGTT